ACTCTTCAGAATAATATTATTTAAAGTAATGTTATTATTTAGAATAATAGTTCTTAATTATTTACCATCATAAATCATTATACATAATTTACTTTTCACCATTTAGTCCCTGTCTTCCACTTAGCTAGTCATGTAAAATTTTAAGTACTAGTCAATTTCACATCTCTTGGTAGGCAAAAAAAAATCACATCTCTAGGTCTGGGAAAAAAAAATCTACCTTAATTTGACAATTTCCCTACAATTACTAAATTTCATTTTTAAAAAAGAGAGAACCATTTATCTCTTCCATGTGGTAAGAGTTCTACTGTAAAATACTGTTTGCCTTCATTAGGAGGCACAGAAAGGGAAGAAAACAGTGATTTCTTTGGCAATTCTGACAAAGTACAAAGATGTATGTAATTACTTCATTCATTTAGAGGATATTTCAGAACTATGATATTCCAGACACTACATTAAATAGTGGAGAAATAAAAACCAATAAGCACAATCCCTGCCCTCAAAAAACTTTACAGCCTGTGGAGAAATATCAATAAGGTGTTAAAAAAATCTCAAAACAAAAAGTTTAATCTTTAAAAATGAAATATACCTTAATATTATGCTGGATGGGGGAAAGAGGTAGGAATTATGAAGTTTAAACAAAATTGTTTAATTGAAGTGATTCTGTAATTTGAGCAACTCATGCTCAGGTCTCTTATTGTTAACCACAGCATCTGACAGCAGTCTTTGAAATATGGATACATTTCAAGACAGACAATTTTTTATCAACTCTACCATTTGAAAAGTCAATACACACTAAAGTATTCTTGGGATGTCTCCTATGTAGATTATATTGTATCCCAAAGTAGTTTCTAAACTTTTTCATTTCAAGTCATATTCCTAAATCTTCTATTTTCCACAGTATACCTTAGATGAAGACAAGCAAAGAGTGATGTCTCACAGTCATTGATAAAAACTGATGCTGAGGATGAGGAATTATTTGTGGAGGTAGTAAGATTATACCTAAGAGAGTACATGGAGACACGGTAATTTAGTGAAACTAAAAAAGAATAACATTAGAAATAAACGTTAACAAAATAACTTGGCTCTACCATAGGGCTTAAATTTGAAGTCAAAGATTATACATAATGGTGGGGCTCTAGGAAAGCCCCAAGTTAGATTCTGATATAGGAGGGGTATGAGGTGAAATGGAAGCAAATAATGTCAATTATAAGGATAGATTAACTAGGAAATATTGGCCTAAAACTACTTTTAAATTCTAACTGTTAGATTAACACATCCCTTAGAGGTATCACTATTGTGAAAAATGATCTGGCCAACACTACCTAATAAATTAATCACTTTTTTCCTCATCTTCATTATATGAGAAGTCACCACAAAAAAAAAAAAGAAAGGAAATCTACTTTTAATTGAATTGTGAGCTCAAGCCTTTTAAATTACATGTACACAAATATTACGCAATAACAGTAATAAATTAATCACTTTTTTCCTCATCTTCATTATATGAGAAGTCACCACAAAAAAAAAAAGAAAGGAAATCTACTTTTAATTGAATTGTGAGCTCAAGCCTTTTAAATTACATGTACACAAATATTACGCAATAACAAAATTTCTCATCTCTCCCTTCATTCCAATACCACATTTCCTCAAAATACGCTTCTGCACAAGACTTACCATATTGCTGCACATATCTAACAATGAAGGAAAATATTATACTAATCCAGAAGAATGTCAAGAAAGAATACTGATCATGATAGAAATACAAAGTAAAGTCTGATTTGGGGTCAATAAGATATTAAAAACCACTTTAAAGCAGGCTTTGTTTAGGCAAATTAGACGTTTTGCATCCTATGACCCACACAGGAATGTAGTTGTGCCCAAAACTAACTTAGAATTCCCTGCGAAGTAAAAAAGCCGAAAGTAACTTACTTTTTCACATCACCACAATAGACATGCCAATCATGTCATATGAGACTACAATGATTTCTAAAATAAAATAACAGTAATATTGAATCATAGTAAAGTGGAAAGACAAGAGTAGAAATATGCAACTGCAAAGGCATACTCAGAAGTTAAATCTGTGAAAAATATATGGAAAGACCTATACCTTCCATACTGATATGGATTATAGACAATTCAGTTTATACCATCGTTTACTTTCAAATTGGTATGGGAAGACTACTGTGATCAGCTCCTCAGTAAAAAAAAAAAAAAACAAAGGGGAGGAAATGGGTGGTGGAGGAGGCAGAGGCAATGATAAGCTTAGCCAATCTTACTACAACTGTTTTAATAGTTCTTCCCACTTACATTTAAAGGCAAGAAAAACTGAACGTGCTCAACAGTTATAGTAACACATAAGCTTCATTTTCAAAAACCTTTATACGTGCTAATTGGGCCATCCATTGGCATAGTATGCCTGTAGTGGACTGAATTATGTCCCCCAAGATTTAGGTATTAGAAACTTAGCCCCAACTGTGACTGTTAAGAGGGTGGAAAATCCTATTATGGTAATTGAAAGGTGGAGCCTTAAAGAGATTGGACTGTAGGATCACGCAGTAGTGGATGGATTAAAAATGGTGGTCAAGAGCATGGTTCTGAGGGCTTTAAAAAAAGAGTAGAGCCTGTCTTTTTCTCTCTCTGCTTCCACCATCTTGCAGTGTGAGACCCCTGAGTCACTGTTGCCGCCACCAGACGAACTTTGGACTTCCCAGTCTCAGAAACTGTAAGCAATAAATTTTGTTTTCTTATAAATTACCCAGTTCCATGTATTTTGTTATAGCAACACAAAAAGGACTAAGACAATGCCTGAGAATTATGCATAACAGAGTCATGGAAAAAAGGTTTTGTATTATTATACCTATTTGTGTCACCACAAAGCAGACTTAAATTTTCAATGCAAAAATATCCTTATTCTCATCAAAATACTTCACACAGTAATTTAAACACATACAAATTGCTTAGAAATGGAAAAAATAAGACTAATAAACGGTGAATCACTGTTAGGTTTGAAAAGGGAAGTTCTGATTTCTTAGTACTATGTTTACTTAGTACCTATGTTCCTCAAAGTGTAAAACCATATCTAAGGAGGACACTAATTAATAAAGGCTAGTATTTACTGAGCACAGTAACACACACTGTGATGAATTCTTTGCATGTACTGCCTCATTTAATTCTTAATAATCTTAAAAGATAGGGACTATAACTTTCCCCGTCTGAAGAGGCATAAATAATTTACCCAAGAAGTGGTAGAAGTAGATTTGAACCCAGAGCCTAGAACCAAGCTAACTGGGAGGAGAGAGAAGCAGTTGAGGAAGACCACGGAAATATTAACTCCCAATGTAGAAAGGCACACTATTTACTGGTGGCAGACAGTTCCTCCTTACATCCTGGAATAGTGGTTTTTAATCCTGGCTACACATAACAAAATTTTGCCAGCTTTTCTTTGACATGAGGAATGTAGGTGGTAGGGTAGACAGCATGAAAAAGTTTGGAAATCCCTTCTTTAACCATCCGTATACTCCTTAAGTCTAAAACAACGCAAAAAGATCCTAAGAGTCAAAGTAAAAAATAAACAGCAGGTTAATGAGACTTTTGTAATATACGTTAAAAATTTAATATTTATGATATTTGGTCATATTCTTTAATTAAGCTGGTGATGACAGATAAAACACTCAGTAATTTATTGAGGATAAATTCCATTGTCTTGTCATGGTGCTGTGGCAGCAATTATGCAGTGTTTTTACCCTGTTAAGTCATCTGAATATAAACTAACAGGTGCTAAGGAAATCAAAGCATTACATAAGCATATCCAAACAACAATATGGCTGGTCATATCACGTATTGAGAAATGCAAGGATCTTGCTGACAACCTTATATGAGAAGACTTACTGTTTGACTAAGTTATTCACAGCACATCCCACTCACCCTATAACAAAATATAACGAAAACTATTCCAGATATTCTCAGACTTGCTGGCTCTTTCATTTTACTGAAAAGGTGAAGTATGAAGAGATATCTGACAAGTACGTAAATTTAATCTATGATTTGAACAAGAGATCTAAAATGAAAAAGGGTATCGATACTTCAAGTTGTACAAAACTTTGGACTCCTCAGAGAAACATTATAAAACTTCCTGCTTCCGGACAGCTCATTATTTGGTTCAAGTCTTCACATTCCTTTATTAGTCATGACCTTTCAGAAAGCTTTCATTGCTCATTGTTTGAATAATATTAGACTTTTAATGCTGGTAGTTGTACTTACAGGAACCCGAATCAAATGAAGAAGGCATCCTAGAGTTCATGTCCCAAGGAGGACTTAGGTTACAAGTAACTCTCAGCAATCTGAGCAATGTGTCCCTCACGTAGTTTTTTTGTTTGTTTTTTTAATTCCTTGTAGACATTTATCTTTCTGCATATCTTAAATTTATGTTCATCTATATGTTTTCATCACAAACAATTACAGGAACTTGCATTAGTTCCGCAGAAATTAACTCTGTTAAAAAACTGGGAGTACCTGTGGGTATGTGTGAAATACAGACACACAACAGTGAACCTCATTACCGATTGTCACTGGGGTCTTACACGGCCAGATCTGGCCTCTGAGCCATATGTCACTAGTCTCAAAGGCCCAGAGAACCACAAGGTAACTGGGCGAGAAAACAAGGAGGCACCTCATAAATGCATGTATTTCCACCAAGAAGCTGAAGGGGTGGCCCCAACGGCAGACCCTAAAGGAAAGAAGACCTTCCCCACTGGGATCCGTCACATCGCCCAGGCCTGTAGGGACTGCTAAAAGGGGTGTGTGGGGGAGAAAGGGCAGTGCCTGTCCCCACTGCGAAGATCTAAATTAAATGAAAATAAAGCAAGTTCTCACTTCCTGGTCGCCTACTCCTCCCAAAGGCCTCCGACCCCAGACGGACACCAGGGAAAAGGGGCTCCCGAGGAGTAAGCGGGGCCCAGCCTTGCACCCCCCCATCCTCGCCCTCGCCCTCCTCCGGGCCTTACACGGTGACGTGACCGGAGCCGCGGACCACCACCGGGTCCGGCGAGTACTTGAGCAGCTGCTCCTCCAGGGCCCGCTCCTCGTCCTCCTCCTCCTCATAGATCTCGTCGAAATCCGCCATCCTGAGCCGCCGAGACCCCCAGCCCGCAGGGGCCTGACTCCAGGGGCTGGCGCTGGGGTACGGGCTGGCGAGGCGGCGGAGGCTGAGGTGAGTCGCTGCCGCCGGCTCCGAGGCCGCGGAGTTCTCTCTTGGCTGTCTCGGCTCCGCTTACTGAGGAGATGGGGTCCGGACCGCCGCCACAGCCACCGCCGCCATTACCATCAGCAATTACAACACAATGTCAACATCCGCCCAGGGGCCGACACCTCCACTAGCACCGCCGCGGTAGCCGCCGCCGCCGCAGCAACTCAGGGAACCACAGGAACAGCCCGAGCCACCCGCAGCGGGAGCAGCCGGCTAGAGCATCGCGAGACTTCCCGGGACTACGGGCGGGCGCGTGCGTGGGCGCGCGGGGACCCACAGGACCAGCGCGAGCCACCCGCAGCGGGAGCAGCCGGCTAGAGCATCGCGAGACTTCCCGGGACTACGGGCGGGCGCGTGCGTGGGCGCGCGGACGGGCGGGCTGGCTGGCAGGCGCGGGTGGGCGGGCGCGCGCACGTGCGGCCCCCCGCGCTCCCAGACCATGGTCCTTCCTCTACTTCGACTCGCCTGCGTCGCCGGGGGCGCGCACTCCCGCTGGCACGGCCCCGCCCTCCAGCTTCTGGGTCGCGGAGAGGGAAGGCGGTTTCCCTGCGGCTGGAGGCAATGACCCCGACTCGGAGAATGGAGCTCCGAGTGTCCAGTGGGACATACAGTTCCCCAAAGTAACCTCTAACCAAAACAAACTGAAAATAAAAGCCTTGGTTGTAATCAAGAATGTATCGTGCTTGTGATTGCCAGTTTATCTAATAATCGAATCTCCCTTTTCGTCCTTGTTTTAGTCTATGATGAGAACCAGAGCCTGTACCTTCCCAATTTGAGGAGCCCAACAGACAAACTGCAAACAATTTTGTCCACTTTACTGCAGGATTTTCCAAAACATCTCCAAATTCAAACATCTTGTCCCTTTATCTTCTTAATTATAGTCCAATATGTGAAGCCAACAATGATGATTTTTTTTTTTACTGTGATACTATGATTACTATAATGGTTGACATCATGATTCCAAACAAGAAATCTCACCGTAGTTATAAAATAAAATTGATAAATACTCTGGATGCAGTTTCTCGCCCCAACTCCCTCACCAAACATAAGCTGTTTTCTTTCCTTAAAACCAAAGAAAATCCCTTTTCCTTTCTTACAAGTTTCTCCCACAGAAAATGAAAAGAAAGGAAGCGAAGGAGGAAGGAAGGGAGAAAGGCAGGGAAGAGAAGTAGGGAGGAAGGAAAAGGTTGAGTGGATTCTGCTTATCTGCCTAGAAAAAGGCCTAAGGGTCACCTTGGGTGTATTTGGTTTCATAGTCAAGAACCTGCTTGGGCATGCAAGCAGCACAGGAGCAGGAGTGGACTCCTGAGGAGAGAGTCCTGGATGAAGAAGATATACTGTAGGGAGACGAAAAGATAGTCCTACTGGACCCAGCACTGCTCAGACTATTCTCCTAGTACAGTGTTCATGTCCTAGCAGTTCACTTTAGAATTTAGATGGGTCATCAGTAAAGTGCAGAAATTGCAAAGGAGGTCAATGAGGACAGTGAAAAATGCCACACAATCTCCTATTGTAAATGGTTGAAGGAAATGAGGATGGTTAACCAAGATGAAGGAAAAATACAGTAGGTATATCAGACTTGTATACCTCCCCAGAGAATATTTATTCATTCAACAAATATTTACTGAACTCCAACTATGTGGCAGGCACTATGCAAGTGTGTGTGTGTGTGTGTGTGTGTGTCTGTGTGTCTGTGTGTCTGTGTGCGCGCGTGATTTACTGAACTCCAACTATGTGGCAGGCACTATGCAAGTGTGTGTGTGTGTGTGTGTGTGTCTGTGTGTCTGTGTGCGCGCCTTTGTGAATGAGGTACAGTCCTTGCCTTCCAGTAGCTTAACTATCATTAAGGCAAGCATTTGTAATTCTGTTGAGTGCTAATGGAGCACACATGAGGCAGCTTGGACTGGTGATTAACAATGGGTTCTGGAACCTGACTGGCTTTGAATCTGAGCTCTGCCACTTACTATGTGACCCAGAACAAGACATTTAACCTCCCCATATCTCATGGGTAAAAGGAGGATAATTATACTACCTACCCAACTGGGATGCTCAGCAGATTAAATTGCTAAATATATGAAGTGCATAAAAGAGGGCCTGGCACACAGTAAATATAGGGTGATGACAGGTGATCTTTAAGGCCTCATCCAACTCATTGACTCTATGAACATCACCAGAATTTTTTGTGTTATGCAACATTTTACCATTTATGAAGCACATACATAATATGCCATTTATCTTCTCCCAAGAACCCTGTGAGGTAAGCAAGGAGGGTGTAATTTATTCTTTAGTTTCAGAAATGCTATGTGACTTTCTCACAGCCACATGGCTATTTAATGGCTAACTCAGGACTTCAAATCCAGCACACTGGGTAGCCCAAGCTCCTGAATTTCCTTCGTGGCAGGAATGAGAAGGCCAGTGACAGCACTCAGGTGAAGTCAGCTTGTTAGTGGCTGCAAACAAGAGGATAAGAACAGGAACCAGAGGGAGGAAGGTCAGCATGCCCAGGCATGGCCCGGCATGTGTGTGCTGTGGCTGAGAATTCACCTTTCTACAGAATTCACCTTTCTGTAGAAACAGTGGCCAAGATAAGGGGCTTGTGCCCCAAAGTATCTAAATCATCACATTGCTGATAACTTTCCAAGGGCAGAGGAAGCCAGGCATGGCTCCTTAAATCTCCAGCACCTTCCACAGTTCTTACTTCAGAGAAGGAGATCAATAAATGTTATCTGGATTAAGACACATTGTTGCTAGTGCTATTTCCAGAACACCATCAGTTAACTAGGCTTCACAGGACTGTGAGAACCTCACTCTTATCTTAACACTGGTTCTATGTGGGAGAAGTGTTCTTGTTCTACAATCTATTCAACAGAGAGATCTTTGTAACTCCCACTACCTGGGTATAAGGTGGGGGCCTCTCTCTCTCTCTCTCTCTCTCCTTTTTCTTGCTATGAAAAACCTATCAGAACCAGCAAAAAGGTGTGGGAATGGGAACAAGGCCAAGAGAGTGAGGAAAAAATATGTCAAACATTTCCCTGATGATAGTTGACATCATAATTCCAAACTCCACCCCTGACCTTCCAGGGTCCACTTTCCTGTCAAACTCCTTCCCCCAATTTGTTCCTGGGGAGGGTTTTCTCCCGCACCCTACTAAGTACCCATCCTTGTGTATAGACTCCTCTCCATTTGGGTTCCCGTTTACATTCCTGTGTCACATGCTTTCACATTTACTTTCAGACCAAACAGCTTAAAACCAAACAGGGTAATGCCTCAGGGGCCTATAGGCAGCAAGTCTTCCCTTGCTTGTAAGGCAAATATTCCTATATTTGAAAACCTACAAGTTCTGTCACTACCTGGCCTTGGGAAGATTCAACTTTCTTTTTTTTTTTTTTTTTTTCCTTTTTGTCTTTTTTACTGACCGGTAACGGGATCGCAACCCTCAGTGTCGCGCCCGTACCGGGGACTGGCAACGGGGTCGCAACCCTCGGTATTGAGCCCGCACCGCGCTCAACCAGTGAGCGAGAACTGGTCTCCACATGAGATCTGAACCCTCGGCGGGAGCGCCGCCGCACTCCCAAACAGCGCACTTTCCAGTGCGCCACCAAGCCGGCCCAGAAGATTCAACTTTCTTTTTTTTTTTTTTTCCTTTTTGTCTTTTTTACTGACCGGTAACGGGATCGCAACCCTCAGTGTCGCGCCCGTACCGGGGACTGGCAACGGGGTCGCAACCCTCGGTGTTGAGCCCGCACCGCGCTCAACCAGTGAGCGAGAACTGGTCTCCACATGAGATCTGAACCCTCGGCAGGAGCGCCGCCGCACTCCCAAACAGCGCACTCTCCAGTGCGCCACCAAGCCGGCCCAGAAGATTCAACTTTCTAAGCTTCCTTTTCTTCATCCCAAAATGGAACTTGTGTATTATCAAGGGGTTATCAAGGATCAGATAAGATGATGTATGTGCTATGTACTGAATTGTGTCCCCTTCCCCCAAATTCATATATTGAAGCATTAATCCTCAATGTGATGTATTTGTTGATGAAGTCTTCCTAAGTTTACATGAGATCATGAGGATGGGGCCTTCATGATGCAATTAGTGTCCTTATAAGAAGCGACACAGAGAGCTTGTTCTCTCTCTCTCCCTGCCATATGAGGACACAGCAAGAAGATAGCAGTCTGCAAGCCAGGAAGAGAACCCTCACCAGGAACCAAATCAGCCAGCACCTTGATCTTGCATGACCTAGTCTCCAGATCTGTGAGAAATTAATTTCTGTTGTTTAAGCCTTTCAATCTACAGTGGACTGAATGTTTATATCCCCACAAAATGTGTATGTTGAAATCCTAACCCCCAAGGTGATGGTATGAGGAGGTGGGGCCTTTTGCTGATGAAGTAAGCCCTCACTGGACACCAAATCTGCCAGCGCCTTGATCTTAGACTTTCTAGCCTCCAGAACAGTAAAGAATAAATATTTGTTGTTTATAGGTCACCCAGTTTATATTTTGTTACAGCAGCTTCAACAGACTTAGACACAAACTATGGTATATTGTTACAGCAGCCTAAGCTGACCAAGATAGTCTATAAACACTCATTTGTTCACTCATTCATTCATTAAACAAATAAGAATGGAATGATTCGCCTGTGCCTCACACTGTGCTGGAAACTAAGGATTTAGCAGTAAGGCAGTAAATAAAACACAATCCCTACCTTCACGGAGTGCAAAGTTTATTGGGGAGGACTGACAGATAATTATAAAAATAAATAACTATTAGAATTGTGGTCAGTCCTGTGTAGAACTATAGAGGATCTTGAGAGTACTGAACAGATCTAATTCACTAAGAAATCAGGATTTCTTCTCTGGGGAAATGACATTTAAGCTAATGAGCTTAATGGTATAGGGGTGGGGAAGAAGAATGAAGAAAATCCCAGACAGCAGGAATAGCTTGTTTAAAGACCCTGAGGCAGAAAAGAGCATGGCCCAGACAAGGTACAAATCAAAGCCAGTGTGGCTGGATCATAGCAATGAAGGCAGAATCACATTTCAGATGAGATCAAAAAGGCTGGTGGGAACTTGATGGCCTTTGTAAAAAGTCTGAAATTCATCCTAAAAGTAAAAGAGATAGGATGTGAAGCCAGGCTGTGACACTATCAGATGTGCATTTTAAAATCCCCAAATGGGAGACCAGTAGTCCAGCCTACCCTGCATGCACACTATCCCCCACCCCCA